GCGCATGCGCATGCACACACACACACACACACACACACACACACACACACACACACACACATTATATTGTGACATTCTGATGAAAATTATATAACATTCAAATTTTAATGTCCATAAATAAAGCCCTATTGGCATATAACCATGCCATTTGTCTACATATTCCCTATGTCTGGCTGTGGATTACAGCAGTAGAGCTGATAGCTGTAGCAGGTCCTATGGCCATCAGAGCCTGGTTTACTTTTTTTGCACTTGATAGAACAAGTTGGCTGATCCTTGGTCTATATGAAAGAAATCAATCCTCAGTAATATCATTATTCACATCTGGCAATTTCCTTCTCAAGTAGCTCAGGGGGCAGCTGGAATGAGGCAGGCTATGACTAAGCCTTAGGAATGGAGCAGACGGGCCGGGGTGGGCCAGGCCTTGGGGGCTCTGGGCTCCTGTCTTGCTGCTGCGCTCTGCCCTGCATGACCCCCAAGCAAGTTCTACTGGGATAATATGTTCTCACAGAACAGGATTTCATCCATCTGTTGAATGTGGGCGGTGGCCATGTCAGGCACTGCCTAAGAACAAATGTATGTTTATATATATATATATATATATATGCATATAAATATTTATGTATCTATATTGTATAAAACTGTGCCAGTGATCAAGTGCCTTAGGAAAAATATAGCGCATTAGAGAGACGGTGATGGTGGGGAGGATCAACACAGAGTGAGACACAGGCATATCTATGTGTGATAGAAGTCCTGGGTGGTAAGTGAGCCTGAGGAATTACCAGGAAGAAGACCGAGGACATCCACAGGCCAAGGAGAGGGGTCTGGAGCACTTCTGTTGCCATGGTAATTTGTAGTGTCCCAGCCCAAAGCATGATCTGTTCTGATTTTGATAGAAATCTCTGTGTAGAGACTTGATTGAGGGAGTCTCAATGCCGTAGGACCTTCTTTGGGGGCCTCAGATGTGGGGGCAAAGACCACCTGGGCAGCCGCAATGCTATTTATGTTGAAAAGCCAGAGAGGCTGAGGGAGCTCAGAACCCCAGCCACTGAGGAAGCTTTTTTGTAAATATTTCTCTTTTTAATCATTTTTATTGTGATTGTGATTACATAAACTTCACAAATTTCACAGTATTGTGAGATAGTGATAGTTAAAGTCACAAACACATTCTAACCTCCATGAGGCAAATTGTCATTATTGTGGTCTATAAAGTTTGTAATTCTATCGGGTGGTACATACATTTCTTTCCTTTTGCTTAGTGTAAGCTGTTTCCTCTTTCCCTCTCATTCCCTCCCTCCCATCGCTGCCCTTGAGTTGCTTAGTTCATTTTCATCAATGTCCAGTGCAGCTGATGGGCCCCTTTGTTGTATTTTTTCCCATTTCCCTCTGATTCTGCGTCCTCCTCCCAGTTTCCCTCAGTTGTGCACATATATACCATATATATGGTCAACAGCATGGGGTCATTTAGTAATGATAGGACAAGATGAGTGGAGGTCCTTTGTTTCTTGAGTGCTGTTTACTTTTCTCCTTACTTTTTTTTTTTTTTTTTTGCCACTCATGGGGCCTGAACTCTGGGCCTGGGTGCTGTCCCTGAGCTCTTCAGCTCAAGGTGAGCACTCTACCACTGGAGCCACAGAGCCACTTCTGGCCTTTTCTGCTTATGTGGTGCTGAGGAATCGAACCCAGGGCCTCATGTATACGAGGCAGGCACTCTACCACTGAGCCACCTTCTCAGCCCTCTCCTTATATTTTGTATTTAACATCCACATATCAGGGAGACCATGTACCATTTGTCTCTTTGCTTACTTCACTAAAATGATTTTTTTGTAGTTCTCTCCATTTGCCTGCGAATGCCACTATTTTGTCCTTTCTAATGGCTGCATAATATTCTATTACATATAGGTACTGCAATTTTTTTATCCATTCATCTATAGTGGGGCATCTGGGTTGTTTCCATATTTTGGTTATTGTGAACAGTGCTGCAATGAACATGCAACTGCATGTGTCCTTGTAACCTGGTTCCTGTTGCTCAGGATAGATGCCAAGGAGTGGTATGGCTGCGTCAGAGGGGAGGTCTACATTTAGCCTTCTGAGGACCCTCCAGACTGCTTTCCAAAGTGGTTGTTAGTGTACATCCCCACCAGCAGTGCAATATGGTTCCTCTTTCTCTGCATCCCCTCCAGCATTTATCACTGGCTGAATTTAGGATGTGGGCCATTCTGACTGTGGTAAGGTGATCTCTCAGGGTTGTTTTTGTTGCATTTCCTTTACAGCCAGGGATGATGAACATTTCCTGAGGAAGCTTTTAAAGGGCTGCAGTTGAGCATACCTAAGGCAGGGCAAGACTCAGATCAGGCAGCAGGGTAGACTCAGCCTGGCTCCTCAGTCCTCACCTCCTCCAGGAAGTCTTCCTGATGTCCCCTAGTTGTCCTGGGGCCTTCTCTGGTGGCACATCCCCAGGAGCTTGCTTCTTCTCAAACCTGGTCCACTATGCGGTTGTACCTGTCTGCTTCAAGTCCCTCTTCTAGAGCACATCCTGGTTGGTGGCAAGTAGACGTCTGGATGCAGGTACTTATCAAGGCATTAAACCAAGGACTGGACAGCTGGGAAGTGCGTTGTGTATTTGGAAATGTAATCAGTGAAGTCCCAGATGGTTATCTCCTCCCATTGGCCTTGTTCAGTATTTTCTAGATCGTTTTTTCCTGAGTCTGAATGACATTATCTCTCATCTTTGGAGCCTGATGCTTAACAGATCCTATTACAGAGATAAATCCGAAGTCTACACCAGCCACTCCCAAACATACCACACTGTGAGCCCCTCCAAACTCCTTCACTTCTGAATCTTGCACTAATTCCATGGTGCAGGTTTGGGGGAGATAAGTCACTGAAGTGGTATCCACCATGTATCTTCCATGAGAAAGCTTTGGTTCTGCTACCTAGCCCCACCAAGCAGGTGGATGAGAAAATGAAGTCAGAAGGGTCATCTGCCTTAAAGTCAAGGAGTGAGCAAATAGCAGAGCCAGCGGGTGTAGGTGATGCCCCTTCTCACTGGGCCAATCAGCAACTGAGTAAGAATCTAAACCATCTAAGAGGCTATTTTCATTGCTGTTCACTATTAATAGTCCAATGGGCAGACCATCTGTAACCATGACTACTCTATACCCATTAGAAAAGAGGATGTGGCTAAAGATGTCATTTGTGGGAATGTACAGTGGTAGTGTCTGAATTTGGCACACACACAAAAATATAACAATAGTCAGGTGCTGTGACTCATACCTACAATCCTATTCAGGAGGCTGAAATACGAGGATCACACTTAAAAGCCATACTGGACAGAAAAGTCCATGAGACTCTAACTCCAATTAAGCAGCAAAAATGCTAGACTGGAGCCATGGCTCAATTAGTAGAGTACTAGCCTCATGGCTCAAAAAGCCTGGTGAGAGCCATGAGGCCCTGAGTTCAAGCCCCAGTACTGGCACAGAACAAAACAAAAAAAGTTATTAAGACAGACCCCAACAATGTTACTACAAATCCAATGAAATTAAACACTGAACTCTATATAAAATTTTTGTATATTTGTAGCAACGTAATAGCCAAAAAGTAAAAACCACCCAAATGTTCAAGTGTTGTGGAGAGCTAAAATGTAGAGGAAAACTTGGTAACAGAAAACATAATACTGTGAAAGAAGCCAGCTACAAAAGGTTGCATGTTATATGATTCCATCTATATACTGTGAGAATTGGCAAATCCTGGGATACAAAGTAGATTGACAATGGCCAGGGACTGCAAATGAGGGTGAATACTTGGGAAGTGACTGATAATGGATGTGAGTGTTCTTTTTCAGGTGATAGTAGTCAGATACAAACTCTGCCATTATACTAGAAATCCACTGTATTGTACACTTGGAAAGGGTCATTTACCTCAATAAAGCTATTAACCCAAACTAAACTTATTGGTTGTCTTCAAGCTCAGCTCACTGACGAGCCAAGCACAGAAAAATCTTGTACAGACAGGAAACTTTGTTCCCAGGAGCCATTGGATCCCAAACCCTGGGTCTGGAACATAGCAAGTTCACTCCCAGATTGGGCAAGAGGCCTGTTTGCATCTTTTCCTCTAACACACATTCCAGTGTCCTGACTCTGATTTAGGTTATTCCTTTTCCTGGACTCACAAATTTCCTTGGAAAAGGCCTGGAATGATGAGCTTCACTAGCTTAGCATGATTCCAGTAGAACTGGCCTTACTGGGCCCACTAGATCCAGCCTTTACCTCTTTGAAGGTAATATTATCACCTCCACAACACATCTGGAGATGGAGGTCCAGTGAGGCTGTCTGCATTCCAGATGGCAATGGCGGAAGTCCCTGTCCACCACATACTCTCTCAGCCATCCTGATTTACCCAGGCTTTCCTTTTCTCATCAGCAGGACACACATCACAACAATCAAGCAATGTGGTGGAATAACCCGGTACCTAACTTTTTAACAAATTCCAGCAGAACCTGGCTTTCATTGACTCAGGCAGGAGATGTGGGCTGTGTGCTTTCTTCCTCATTCCCAATCCAACCACTATGGCCTGAGCAGAGCAGAGCACTCTTTCCCTTCTCTCTGCACATGGGCACTTTCCCCTCAGCCTCGTCTCATACAGCCCTAGCCTCTCATATACCTGGCCTTCCTGCTGTGCTGGGCATGTCTGGTTTCTAGTGTGGACCACCCTCAGGGGGCCTCTGATGTGTTTGGGAGGGACCACCAATGTTTGTCCAGTCCCCCTCTCCCCCAGCAAAGTGTGGTGGCATGAATTCAGACAGCGCCTGGCCCATCTGGAATGGGAAGACCTGTGTTGAAGGACATGGGACAGTTTTCTGCAGCATGGGAACAGAGGCAGGGAGAGCCCTTCCCTTGAGGGACTAACCAAATGGGATTGTGATGCTATGCCATGAGCTGGTTTCGCTCCTCCCAAGCAGGTGCCAACAAAAACACAAAACACAGGTTTCCAATCACATATGGCTTCTTTGACCCCATCAAATAACTTTATTCACACAAACGTCCCTTAATTTACAAAGCCTCAGTCATTCATACATTAGGGGATCCACAGTGTTCGAGGAACTTAAATATAATGTATCATATCAACCCAAGTAAACCAAGTACAAAAAATATTCATATAAAGTTGTTCACACGTAGGTCCTAGATTACCAGCTTCTGTGCAAAAAAGAAAATAAGAGAAAACAGATTAACTAGTATTTGAAACTAACCTGTGCCTGCCTTAAACCCTCCCTCACAACCAGATCTGCCCCACATAAATCAGGAGGCCACGGGAATGCTCTACCCAGCAGATGGCAAGAAGCTCCTGGGGCACACCATTTCTTTAAAAAGCCCCCCAACAGCTTCTTTCCTCCTATGATCTTGCCTGGGAAAAACAAGTGTGTGTGTGTGTGTGGGGGGGGGGGGGGGAGAGAACATGTAACTTCAGGTACCCTGTGCAGCCCTGGGGGAGGAGGGCCTCAGGCAACTGAGGGCAGTGGGGTCATCCCTAAGTGGGGGCTGTGGATCCAGCACCCCCGCCCCACTTCCTGCCAAGAGCATTCTCCAGACAGGAGTCCCTGACCTCAAAGCCGGGGTGGGGTCAGGGTCTGAGGCAGTTAGTTATCTCTGGGCCTCAGCCTCCCCAATCTGCTGGCCTAGAGAGATGAATAACGAAGCTTCCCTGTTTGGAGGTTGCTGCACCTCCGACTCCCAGCAGCTAAGTGTGGGCCAGCTAACCAGACAGATTTGGGGGTGGCGAGGGGAAGAACAAGTCAAAGAGAGGACTAACCAGGAGATTTACCTAGAACAAGAGTCAGCAGCACCCTGGAAGGAAGGAGAGGCTGGAGGTACTCTTGAGGGAAGAGGACTAGAATAGTGATAGGGAACAAGGCAAAGGTAGTTAGGGTCCTCTCTTATTAGCAGGTAGTGCCTGACTCTTTCCAAACTCCCAAGATACCCGAAGGCTAAAACCTAGATATCTATCCCTGTGTCTTCTTCTAAAACAGTACACAATAATAACATTAAAAGATCCCACACTACCAGCTCTTTTTCTTTTCTTAGAAATTCAAGCAAAAATAATAATCTTATTGCTCCAAACACTGGTTTTCTAGGATAGGAGACAAGTGATATGTTGAGTAGCTGAGAATCCTGGGAGGGAATGATGGAGGGGGGAGAGGTCCTAGCACCACAGGGTCAGGGAGAGGGAATGAAGGGCCCCCATCTTCTCTGCCTACATTCACTCCATGGCTACCACTGGCAGTGCCATAAAGGAGGCCAGGCCCAGTCCAGAGTGAAATCTCCACCCTAGGGTGGGCACATTTCTCCTCCAGCTGTAAACAGGGTTATTTCTTAAGTAAACATTTAACACACTCCCTCTGAAAGGCAGCCATGGGAGCAAACCCCCAGCAGGCGGGAGGATTTGAGTTTCCATTACCTGTCCAACGCCTCTGGCTGGTGTGAGATGAGGCTAAGGCCTGAACCTTAGTCCCCTTATCCTCTTACCCAGAATGGGGTGAGATGGAGCCAGTCTGGAAGAAGCAGATGTGACCTTTTGGCTAGAGGTAAAGGCAGGGAGGGACCGCTGGGGACACAAGACAGTGTTGTACCTGTGGGCAGCAGCTCTCCTGTCTAGGGCCAAAGCTACCTGGAGTGCCCTGGAGACAGGTGGGTGTTGCTTGGGTGTAAGGGGGTTGGGGGTAAGGACCTTCTTTCCCCTCTGGCAATCCGCAGGTGAGAAGGTGTGAGTGCAAATGACAGGTAGACAGAGAAGGAGAAGATGGCCATGTGCTTCTGGCTGAGCCAGGAGTCTGGCCAAGGAGGACAAAGGAATAAGGCACTAAGATCTGTCCTGCTGACTCCTCTCCCAGAAGGCTGAGGCCAGGACAGTCCCCCAACAGTCTACCCTTTTCATACATCCAGGAAGAGAACTACTGTTGTAAGGTGTCTAACAAACTTGGGTGCTGAGATGATTTGTCATGGCTGCTGGCAGGCCCGAGACCCAGGTGGAGGCAGGAAGAGGGAATCAGCAGGTGGTGGCTGATGTCTAAGATTGACTGGGAGCGCAGTTCTGTAAAGACTGCAGGAGCCCCTCGGGGGTGGGCCCACAGACCATGACAGTGCAGGGCACGGAGGGGAAGAGGCAGGGACAGGCACTTGGGACTCAAGAGCTGGCCCTCGTTAGAGCTAGGGAAGGAGGTCCCATCGAGCCAGAGCTGGCTGAAGTCCTGGAAGATAAGGTGCGAGAAAGTAGGCTGCCCCTGTCAGGCGGCCCACCTGTGACCTCCAGTGACTACTGACATTTAGAGCCAAGAGCCTGGGCTGAGCAGAACAAAAGGACAAGCAGGTCACCTGCTAGGCCTCTGTCTGCTCCAAGTTTAGGGACCGTTTTTCCCATCTGCTCATATATGGAGAGATGAGTCCCCAAGGAAGGCAGGAAGGTGGAGCAGAGGAGCAGCATGCTCTGAAATCAGAGGAGGCTGCCGGCTCACCTCTGCCTGCTACCCTCCCTCTCCATCTACCCCTCCTAGCTGCCATTCACAATATACTCAGGAGCCTGCCTGAGAAGTCAGAGGAGAGGAAACAAGGGCCAGGAAATCATAACAGGTTTCAGCCCATGAAGGGAAGGGAAGAGCCTTGTTGCCACCTGTAGCCCCATGGGATCCCAAACACTGCAGTGAGCCTTCTGCCAAGAGGAAGAAGAAATCTCATAGTGCAGCTGAGGGGCTCAGATAAGGCTGGAAAAATTCAAACAGATGCACAGCCAAGAGGGGGCTGAATGTGCTGCTCACTTGGGCACTGCAGGCCCCAGGACTGCTGCTTATGGGGGAAGTCGCTCTTGGTCACACACCAACTGAAACGCCCTCCAATCACCTCCCCATCAGTTTAATGCTAGTTTGGGGGGTGGGAAGGGAAGAAAAACAAACACAAACACAAACGAGCCCTTTCCTCTCCCCAGAAACCCTATCCCATTTGGCCATAAATACAGGTGAAAAACCTGGAAAAGCAATGGAGCAGACAAAGGCGTCCAAGCTAGAGAAGGGAATGGCCAGCTGGGCTCCCAGCAGCAGCCTGGAAGGAGGGGGCCTAACATGAGGATGGGCACCCACTGAGACAGTCCAAGGGGTCAGGAAGATGGCGCTTGACATGTCACTGGATGTAACATGGTGGACCCTGGCAACAGGGCACACCTTCAGAGACGACCCAGGTGGCAGCCAGTTCAGGACACCGCTATCATGGCAATCAATGGTCACAAGACCTTAGGGCCCAAGCAGAGTCTGCAGCACACCTGGGGAGCCGATGATCCTGGAGGCAGCAGGTGAGGGTTGCTGAGCTAACAATGCTGATGGCATCCGAGGAGGACTCAGTGTGCTCCAGAAAGAGGTTTGGCACAACAGTCCTAACCAGACAGTAGGCTTGCGCAACTAGCTGCTCACTGCAGCAGTAGGCATGGTTGCCCTTGGCCTTCTCCCTCTGGGGCTCCCAGTTATAAAGGGCAGAAGAAGAAACCAAGTCCTACCACTGAGTCCTGGTGTGGCCTGGACTCCCAACAGCTTAAAGGGAACCAAACCTGCAGGCTATGCTCCTTTCTGGAGTCCTCCTGGCCAAGCCCTGGCCTTCCTCATCCAGGCAGCTCTTCACCTCTGCTCCTGTGTGAGGTCCAAGGGCTGGCCAGTACCAGCCCACCAAGGAGTCCAGCTGTCCTATGTCTGGGAGGAAGGTGGCCCAGAAAACTCCTATGTCTTCATGTTCTATTCCAAGAGAATCCCCAAACACTCTCTGGGGAGATGGATCTTCTCCAGGGAGTGAGATGCTACAAGCAGAACTTGAGACGCACAGAGAAATCAGAAGGAAAATGACACAACTCAAATCGCTCCCTAACCTTTTACAGAAATGAACAGTAAAATTTACACATGCTTTGTCCACATTGAATTTCTTTAAATGATGCCTGTCCACAGCATAACTTTCTGTTCTTCTGAAGTCTTGATGACTTAAATTAAAAGGAAAGAAAAAGGACAGGAAAAAAATAACAACAACAAAAAACAAAATGCAACCAAAAGGAGGGGAATCCCAAACAAAAGCTTCACATTGCCGGAGGTCGAAGCTGTTAGGAGATCACCAGTCAAGCCACCACCTGTACGCTCTGCTGTCCTGTCCGAGGCATGATGAGACTGTGGGTCCCGAGGGATCGACCTGGAAGATAGAAAGCAGGCAAGGAGTTGACATTTGATCAGAACCTGGAGTACCAGCAACCAACCCAGAGTGGCTCTGAAACTGTATGTATGCTGGGGGCTGAGTCCTCTCTAAATACTTTGAGTAACCTGAGCATCACGATAAACTCTGACAATTACAGACATGTTCTTATTTCTCAGGTCACAACCAAGGCAGACATTAGAAGTAAATACAGATGCTGGCTCCAGCTACCATTCAAGCTTCCTCATAAACCATCAGGAAACAGACCCTGCCAGCCCCAGTCCTGTTCAGCCCTTCCACCCCATCTCCTCATGGTTGCGCTGTGTAAGCCTTCCAATAACCCACTGAAGTTTTCATTGCTCAAATTTAGACGTGAGAAACTAAACTGAAGGCGCAGTCTCACCCACCAACGCCAAAGGTTGATCAGAGTCAGGTTTCTTCGAGTCTACTACTTGGTCCAACTCTGCCATGCTGCTAGGGTTAAGGCTGAGGGCTCTGGAGCCAGAACTGAGTTAGGCAGATTCTGACCCTTGAACAAGAGCCAATTCAAATCCTCTGTTCCTTACTCTCAGCACTATTCTACATTAAATATTTTTATGAAGATTAGGTCATAAGACCTAATGACAGTGATCTAATAATAGAGAGGTGTTGTGAGAAATGCATCATGGTTTAAACAAGCCAAGATGCATACAATGTCAGCACATGGCCCATCACTGACCAGAATGCCACTATATGGTATGTGACTGGGTATCTACAACTTGGTAAGAACACTTCCTATTAGTGTTTGAAGCTGCCTGGCAGGGACTTGGGCAAGTGGAAACCCAAAACAAAAAAAGCCTATAGAGATTAGACGTGAGCCATCCCCATACTCTGAGCCACCTAATCAGAGCTAAGTATAGCCTTGTCCTAGGTGGGGCAGGCCATCTAGGCGGTAATTCCCATCGTCCTTGCACTTGGAATTACCTAAATTTTTTAAGTGGCTGGCTGCACTCAGATTACTGAATAAGATGAATCTTCTGGCTGAGGGCATCAGGACCCTGCCCATAGTGTTGAAAGAGTATGACAGCCTCTAGAAGGCGGACTGACAATGTGCTTTCACAATTTTCAATGTACTTAGACTTGGAGCCTCATAACTCCACTGCCAGGAGCACAGCATCTCTGAAAACCCTAAATATGGAAAGGATTTTGTGAATAAAGATGTTTATTGTCCTAAATTACATGGTAATAACTTGTAAGGCCAAAATAAAGGATGACTGAGCAAATGATCCATCAACTCAATGATATATTGCAGAGAAAATGAGAGATGTGTGGCATTTGAACACTGACCAAGCCCATGTCTGGGTCAAGCTGGAAGTTTAAGTTATATAGCTATGTGCCAGAAAGCAGGAACATGGTTTGTCTCTCAGTTTTGGCTGCAGTTTAACCCCCTTATGAAGAATTTAGGGAGTAAAATCAATCTGACCAGTCTGTGGATGGGTGGGTCACCTGGGAAGTGATAAGAATTAGATACAGACTTCAGGGCGGAGCCCCCCCCTACCCCTAATGAATCCTGGTAACTTTATCAGGAGACTCCAGTCTTGTCATGTGATTCCCTGTGCCACCATAAAACTCCACCAGCAAGAACAGCCATCACCAGATCTGACTTGGAGCCAGAACAATGAGCCAAAATAAATCTTTTTTTTTTAATTTACCCAGTCTGTGGCAATTTATTATTAGCAACAGAAAATGGACAAATAAACTTTGTGTAACACCCTCCCATAGGGAAAGCTGGCAAGAAAATACAGTAAAATTTCCTCTTCCTCCACCTGACAGTATTGAATACATAGCACATTGTTGAGCTAGAGTTTTTAATGGGAAATAGTGCATTTTAATGAACAAGACAGCTCCAACAGAAAAGCCCAGACTAGGCTGTCATCCAGGCACTTCTACGCAGCGGGCAGTGAATCCTCTAAATCTATTAAACAAGGTCAACGTGGCTCCAGCTCCACTGACTGCTAACTCCTCTTAACAAAACTCCCATTGTGGGTCTTGATTCCAGTTTTTTACTTGGGAGAAAAAGCAATCATTGTAAATATAAACTCCCTGATGATCTGGCAGCCACCTCCAGTCCTTGGATTGTAGATTGCTTCCTGTAGATGAGAGAGAACAGCTGGGCGGCTGAAATGAGTATTCAATAGGTACCCTCACCATCAACATGTAAAACTTTGTGAAGTACAACAGAAGCCAGGGAGATCACACAGTCAACATGGTCTGCAAAGAACTGAGGAGAACCTCCTCAGAAGGATACCCATCAGCAGGATGCCCACAGCTACTGACAATGAGGGAGGAGGCAGGGAGATGTACAATGGACCAGAAATGATCACCAGGCCCCCTGCAGGAAGCAAAGCTGACATTTCCCTTCAGCTCTGGAGCTGGCTGTGCTGTCTTAGTAGGATAGTGTCAGCCTGGCTCTTCCTGGGGAGACAGAGCAGAGTTTTGATGGCTGACTGCAGGACAGAACCTTGGCTTCCCGCTCCTCTTTCATCCTATCAGGGAGTATACGCCACCCCCTGAGAACCCACTGCACAGTAGGCTCACTGCAAAGTTTAGGGGCTGGGGAGAACATGCCTATAATTCTAGCTACTTAGGAGGCAGAGTCAGGAACTTGGGCAAAGGTAGCGAAATCCTGTCTTAAACATGAAATAGAAACCAAACAACCAATCAGTTTTGCCTGTATACCCATGTTTAATTGAGGCATTATTCACAATAGTCAAACTGTGGAACCAGCCTAAGGGGCCAATCAACAGATGTGTGGTATAGATACATGGTGAACAGAGCTTTACTCAGCCAGTAAGAATGAACTATTGTCATTTCCTAGCAAATAGAAACAGAGAGCAGTAAGTTAAATAAAGTTATACAGTCCTAGAAAAGACGAACATTACATGTTTTCTGTCATTTGTGAAGTTACAGGGAAACGGAAACAAAGGCAAGAGGGAAGATCATAAGGGAGGTGGAAGTGAGAAAGGCAAGAGCAATGGAGGGATAGGTATGGTCAAAGCACACTATGTACGATGGATGCCATTATTAAACCCCATACACACATGAGTGGGACAGCATTTCAGTAGTCTCCTGGATTCAATCAATCCCCAGCACAGCAAAACAAAGTAAGACAAAGCAGAAAACAAAACCTCATGGAAAGAATTCCTTTATACAGCCTGAACAGGAAGGAACAACCAGAACCACATGGGTCATGTGTCTAGGTTAAAGCAGCCAACTAACTCTCTTTGACATTTGTAGTACCATGGATGGTGTTGGTCCTAGCCTTCAAGGGCCCTCCCATACCCCTCCATCCTAGCAAGAAGAAATTATCAGGTTTCTTGACTGTCTGGACTGTAGCCTGAGTCCCCGATTTCCAACCTCAGCCAAGACTTGCTTGTCCCTCTCAGTACACCCTCACCCCTCACCCCACTGACCACAGAGCCTTCCTGGAAGGCAAAGGCACAATTGCCAAACATGCTGGAAGATGGTGCTAATGTGCAGTGGGCTTCATGACAATGTGGGGATGGGTTTGGCCAGATGAGCAAACTGAAGCTCAGGGTAAGGCTGCCCAGGAAGTAAGTGGCAGAGGACTTTTAACCCAAGCCTAGAGAGACAAGAGCTCGAGTGGAGCTTAAACCCCATTTAATATATTTATAAATAGAAACACTCAGAAAAAGGCTTGGGGCTTAGGTTCCTCTGAACAGGTTTGATGCCCAAGACACAGATGCAGTGCCAACTAGCCAGTGAGCAGTCTTCCAGCAAGTTCCTTGGCCAGCTGTGCAGTTGTCTGGCCTGCCCCCCTAAGAGTCAGGGGAACCAAATTGTTCCCATTAAGCCATAAACAGCTTGGCACACAAAGTAGAAAGAGCTGAGAAGCAGGCAGCATGAGGGTGGTGCCAGGGATAGCAAAGGCTCCTACCTATTTCCTGCCCCCACTCAACTTGCAAACATTGAACATCTTAGTCAATAAAGGACCATCCTTACTCTCAAAGTATCATTTCTTTGGCTAAATGAAATTAAGTAGGGATTGTTTAAAAACTGCTCCAGCTCTGGCCTCTGGTTTTAAATTGTACTGTCTTACAATATGTATAAAGTCTCAAAGTCACAACTACTTTGAAATACAGCATCCTCACTCTGGTCCTCTAAGAGAAGGCTTAACACAGGTTTAATGGCAGACAGACAAAGGTTCAAAACCAAGTTCTACTACTTACTAGCCACTTTTATGATTGAGCCTCCTCTTTTTAGAAAATGCAGATAGTGTCCCTTTGACACTGAGTAAATTGCTTGTTTCAGAATCTGGCACAGAATGGCATTCAATCAGAGCTCACTCTGACTCTTAGGGTGTTACAGGCTGGACTGTCCTGAATTAATGTTGGGTCAAGGTTTAATTTAAAAATCATCCTACATCCTCTACATAGTGGGGGAATAAAGGCAGGGTGGCTCGTAGAGAGCAGTCCTCTGGTCCTCACTGATGTAACTGTCTGCTATCCATTGCTGTAATGGCCCCAGGGCAGCCAGAAGGTGGCAGAAGTATTCTCAGAGCCTTCTGACTACTTACACCTGAAGACAGATTTTTGAAGCTAACATGAAGAAGTCTAGGATCTAGAAGTCTGTAATACAAGCTGGCAATCTGCTATGATATGTGTTGTTTGCTGTGGGGCTATACAGAATTGTCTCAGATACCCACAAAGGGTGGCCAGCACTCCAGGCAACCACTGGTACTTGTCTGAAGGTGGCTCACAGCCTAGTCTGTAGGCTTCAGAGTAGCATAGCAGTCCTACCTGATGGTAAGAAAGACACCAAGCACCTGTGATACAGGTGTAGGCCCTAGCATATACCCCTGGCTCTACATGCACAGTTATCTGTGAAAGAAAATTCTCTTCACAGATGAGGAATTCCCAGTGATGAAGGATGGTTGGCAACTTGCAAAAGGCTGGCAAGTACAAGATCCAAGTACATAGCTAGTAAATGGTTGATAGGGA